AGTTATAGTCGTCATACTATAGTTGAGCAGCTTCTAATATCATTGTAGTTAAAGGAAAAACTACAGGTTAACACTATGTAGAACGAAGAACAAATATCTTTTTATACTTTATATGAGGGTTAGCTATCATTTGCTCATCAAATAGCTGCAACAATCCATGACATGGGCAGAGAAGATCTGAAACCATAATTGATCGCTCTGGATGTTTTGAACGTAAAAGATCTTCATTTTTTTTAATCCAAACTTTTCTCTTTCTATCATTTGCATAAAAATGATATTTGTCATGTGTAACTTGCATATACTCTTTTTTATCAAATTCAAGTTGAGGCTCTAATACAATATCTAGCATATCACTACTAAAACTTTTCATATATTTTTTGTATATGGAATTATTAATATATTAGATTAAATTAAAAAAAAACTTAAAATTGTTTAACAGTCACTTTAAATACATTTTATTTTAATAATTTCAATATAATTCAGATATATACAAATTCTCTAAATCTAATTCTTAAAATTAACAATTTTGAATTATATCACTTACTACTATCTTACCTATATATGAACATTCTATCTAGCCATTCCCTTCTGTAAGTCACAACATCTGATTGCTTATGCCCATCATAGTATACACCTTTTTTTTCATTGTATCTAAACCCCCATAGGTGCATATATGTTCGGCATATTCATTCAGAGATTGTTTTTTTTTTTATTTGATTCATCATTTGGGGAAATAATGTTCTTTCAATATAAGCTTTTAATGTACCTGAAGAGTGTGACTCAGGTTTTTGTTGGTATAACCAAGCTTAACATGCATCTGAAAAATCTATATTTTTAATCAAGCTCTTCAATTTTGTATGTTTTCCCTGATAATTAACAAGAAGTTACCTAGTTTGAACATAATGATCACTCCACTTTCTAATGCGTCTTGCTAAATAACTTCCTTTATTCTATATTATCTTTGCAATACAGGTACTAGCATCTATTTTACCTTTACCATTTAACAATAATTCTATATATCTGCTTATACTTATGAGATATAGATAATCATATGTAGGTGTATTCAAGGATTTTGTAATTGAACATTGATGATTAATTTCATTCAGACACATTTGTAATTTTACAGTTTTATTGGATAATAGTAAGTCAGATATAGAAATTAGAAATAATTGTGGTAATGGTGATGATAAGTCAGATTCAGAAATTGGAGATAATTGCAGTAATGGTGATAATACATTATTTGATTGATATGTTATTAAAAATAAAGTCTCAACATTAGCAGATTGGCCAAAATGTATTTGTAACTTTGACATAGTTTTTATAAATAATGGAGAGTTTCTTATTGTTGCTAGAAGAGATTTTAATGAAAATTGTGATACTAATGATAGAGCACTAGTTAATAATGATCAGGATAATGATATTACAATATTAATAGGTGAAGATTGCTGTGATAAAGCAATTAATATGTTAGTATCTGATAACACATCAGTTTTTTTTTGTTTTCTTTACCAGATTGTTGTTCTTGACATTCTATTACATACTGATCCAGCTTGTTTTTTCTCATAAATATCATTTTGTATTATGGTATCTGTATAACTAGTCTCATTTCACATTGTAGCATCTTCATCTATTTCCATTATTTCACTGTGTATATCAACAGTTTCTTTATGTATAACAATTTTTTGAGAAGCAAAGCGGCCACGTTTTCTAGGTAATTCATTTGCAAGATGTTTTCTTTTGTTTTGATGAGGCATTATAAATTAACTAATTAAGATAATTATTTATGAATTACAAAATTGATTTCGATGTTTAAGCCTTCGAAATTTTTTTTTTTTTTTCCAATAAAATTTTGCACAATTACAAAGTTTTATTTGCAATAAATTTTATTTTATGACAAGGTTTTATTTGATAACAATTATATTTAATTAATAGAAAGTGAAGACGATAAAAAAGCATTTAAATCATTCCTGGCAGTCAGTTAATATAATTAGACAATAAATATCACCCAATCAAATGCTCTAAATCTACATATGATTTGTCACGATTTGTTTCAATTTTGACAAAAACATATAAACTTTATAACACTAAAACTTTTTATAGAAGCAATTTTTTAAAAAACTAAACAGTTAACTTTATAGAGTGTATTCTAAACTACAAAGTTAATGGTTTACTTTTTTGAAATCGCTTCTGTCGAAAGTAAAATAGCATTTTGAAAAATATTATATTTTAAATTATATGATTATTGAGTATAAGCTTTCAGCATCATAGTTCTTAATAACAGGTGTTATTTCATTCTGATTATGATATTTGTTAAAATCATAATATGATTGTCATAAACAATAAATTTCAAGGTGTTTATAAAAGTTTGATTCTGCTTACTTTAATAATTGTTTTCAAAAGAATGTATGTATTATTAATCGTCATCATTTAATTGTTCAATAAATTACCAGGATGAAAACAAAGTTTAATTATGTATAAAATTTAATTCTGTTTGTTTCAAGAGAATGTATGATTAACTGAAATAATTTAATTGTTCAATAAATAACCAACATGAGTATAAAGTTTAATGATCATGTTTCAAGAAAATGTATAATTGACTTCAAGCATTTAATTGTTTAATAAATCATTAATTCTGTTTACTTAACAATTATATTCAAGAGAATATATGAGTAACTATAATCATTTAATTGGTTAAAAAATTACCAATGTGAGTATGAAGTTATGATTGACTGTAATTATTTAATCATTTAATAATTACTAGCATGAGTATGAAGTTTAATTCGTTCACTTTAATGTTTGTTTTTCAAGAGAATATATATATAATTAATTATGATTTCTAACTATTCAGTAAATTATCAGGGTGAGTATAAAGTTTAATTCTTTTCATTTTAATGATTATGTTTCAAAATAAAGCATGATTAACTGTAATTATTTAATTGTTCGATAAATTACCAGTGTGTGTATGAAGTTTAATTTTTTTATTTTAATTATTGTGTTTAAGAGGATGTACAATTAACTAAAATTATTTAATTGTTCATTAAATTATTAGAGTATATAAAGTTTAATTCTGTTTACTTTAAAGATTATGTTTCAAGTACATGATTAATCATAATAATTTAATCATTCAATAAATTACTGAGATAAGTATATTAAATGTGAGTACTGTATGTATAATAAACTGTAATCACTTAAAAAGTAAAAACTAGGATAAATCCAATAATAATGTAACCATAACCATTATGTACTGCGTTTAAAATAAGTTCTGAAATCAAAATTTATACAGTAAATCATAATAATAATTCTAATGCAACAAATGCATATTATAATAAATAAATAGCAAGTATTGTAACAGAAATTTTTATTCAAAAATCACAATAATTTTAATACTAACTTAACTTTAACTGTATATATTGCACTATATTTGCAAGTAAATTCTGTATCAAAATAGAAATTAATAATTATATAATATTAACTCAACTTTAACAAAATTCTTTATAGTAAATTATGATAAAATCACAATAATTTCAATGTAATATTAAATTTGCAATAGATGATAAGTTCTGTAAAAACATTTTTAACAGTAATATAATTTTTTTAAAAAAAATGAGTGATGTGAATACACTACCCTTTACAATAGTATTTGTAATATGACAGTTGAATTATAACTTTTTGGTTATTAATAATGTAGTAGTTGGATTCTAATAAAAAAATATCTACTAGTTTGTGATTTCTGAATAATTTGCTCTGGAAGAATTTTTGAACACTTACCACTTACATGAATTTATACTTAACAAACTATTCAGACTATAGTTGTTATCCAAAATCTGAAACTATATATAAAATCCTGAAACCGAAACCTGAAATGCTTTCCAAAACTCTTTTTAAAACTCTAACACTATAATGAAAAGCTTAAAAATTTAATTTTAAACTTTGATTTAAAGTATAGAATAATTAGATTGCATTTCAGGAACATTTTGGTTACTTTATAATAATGTGCATTAATTATTAACATTCTAATTTTGAAGTTTTAGAAAGGTTTCGGGTTTCAGTTAACAAGTATAATTCAGACATATGAACATATATACAAATTCACATAAATAATGAGTGTTACAACAAGTGAGAGATTAAATCTATCACACTTAAAGTTATATATAAATAATTTCAGTTTAATTGATTACTTCGTGTGAATAATAGGACAAAAAGATTATGTCCATGATATATATTTTATAGTAAACTCAAAATAAATAATTTTATTATTTACATATAACATTGATGGTTCTCTTGTTTAGAAACTCCCTTCACTTTGATCTATCAGAAGTATGCTGATCATACTAGTTCTGCACATTATCGCATGTTGCACAGCTAGGGATGGAATTGGCTATGGTTATAGCCAGCTACAGCTGTAGCTGATATTAACTGACTGAGCAGCTTAGCCAAGCAGCTTAGCCAATTGGCTAGCTGATGAAAGTTTTTTAATTTCCTAGTTGATAATAATAATAATAATTGTTTAATTTAGTATGCAATCATATTAGCAGGTTTGCAAGGTCTGCACCATCTGATATATAGAAGAACTTATCATTCATAATTTTGGTCAAATTTGCAGATCATTTGGCCAGATCTAGAACAAACCAATTTTAACTCTGGTAAAATAATCTGCACCAGATAAAATCCCACCAAAAAAAGTTTCAAAAATCATGTGATATTGTCAATTCATCATAAACTGATTTTTTTTCTTAGATTTTTTAAAGTGAAAACAATCGTTAAAAGCATAAAATTCAATAAACACGCTATTTTAAAATTTCTATTAACAATAAATGAAAATCAAACAATCAAAAAAGTGCAATTGAATCAGAAATTCTTGTAATTTTTAATGCCTTCTTAAAAATTATAATTTTGACTATTTGGGCTGCCGTCAACAGAAATCAGGCAGGTTAACATTTTAAAAAAAAATCAATATCTTAACTTTCACAGCTCATATCTCGATGAATTTTGAAGCTATTGTTATCATTTGGTAGTTAAAAGAAAGCTTAGATTTTAAGCTTTCATTAACTATTAAATAATGGCAATAGCTTCGAAATTCATCAAAATATGAGCTATGAAAATTAAGGCATTAATTTGTTTTAAAATGTTAATCTGCCTGGTTTTTATTGATGACAGCCCATTTATTTGAATCCAGGATGCTGCAACAAAAAATTATTGAAGAAAACAAATAGTAACAAATCATTTGATAATATTAATAAAAACTCTGTTGTGACATAAATTGTAAGATTATATTCGAAATAAATAAAATAAGTTACATGAATTTTTAGTGCTTGATATATTTGGCATGTGATGTTCGAAACCTATCATCTGATAAATACAGAAATAGAAAAACCTATAGTTATAATTTTGGTCAAATTTGCAAATCATTTGACCAGATTTAAAATTGTTTTGTTTTAGATCTGGTCAAATGATTTGCAAATTTGGCCAAAATTATAACTGATTGGTTTTTCTGTTTATCAGATGATGCAGATCCACAAATATAATTATTAAACGAACATATAATTGATACAATTAGTTTGTCACTTAATTAAATATTTGATGAAATAATTAAATAATTAATCAGCTATAGCTGTGGCTAGCTGGCTAAGAGTGGCTAGCCAGTAATAACTGTCCAATAACTGACCGAATTCATCTCTATGCATAGCTATCATTATTACATAGTGTGAGCCTGATTTTCAGAGTCATGGGTACCCGAATCAGGATGACAATCCTTATCCGATCCAAGGTCACATGAAAAGTAACAGAATGTTACCTATGGCACTTATGATACTTATGTTACTTCTGCTACTTCAGCCATATATGCGTTAAATGGCATATCGGCCTTTTATTATATTTAGTGAATATATATAATATAAGGAATATCTGACATTTATGATATAAATTGATCGCGAATATAAATAAGATGTTTATTATAAATAAAGGTCATTTCTGTCACAGAAAACAATAGCAAGTCATCCCTGATACAAATAAAACTCCAGTACAAATAAATATCTAATCCATAATAAAATCTAAGTGCAATAATAAACTAATTAACCATTGTTAACCATCATTGCCTATATCATTTGTTCATTTATACACCACTAACTCACTAATTAACAACTCACTGCAAGTCACGTGACAAGACCGTAATGTGATAGAAGAGTTTCAACCCCAATTCGACGCAGTGTAATTCCAGGTTGAGGTAGACAAGAGAAGACTAGATTAGTAAGAAAATAGATTAAAGGAAAGACACAGAAAAAAGACAAGTACTTACCTATAGATAAAACTACTAGCCAAATCTAATACACCTATTTTGACTTAGCCACCGTAGGTTATGCAAGGCTTGGATTAGTTTAGCGACAGACTCGCTGATTTCTGGAATCACAATAGAAAATAAATAATTATTTCATAACTTAATTAGTGATTTGACTATAAATGAGATTATTATACATATATGTGATATTCACAAAATCTTAACAAACAAAATAATAACAACATAAAGCTACTATGCAATTGTATCAGTATGTATTAAATAACAAGTTAGTAAAATTAATGCAATAAACTAATTTAATTTTGATCTGAAGCGATGCTAAATATTGTTATATATGGGCTTGGTTCTGCAAAAAAGAGGGAAAATAACAATTTTTTTAAAAATTTTTTTTTAAGCATAACTAATGCAAAATTATCTTAGGAATCTTTTTTTCTTATTTTAGAAATACGATTATCTTAATAAAATCTTGAGATACTAATAACAATACTGTAAAGCGTGTTTTGATCGGATAAATCGTTGTGTAACATTACGATATAGATTGGATAAAATTTTCGGAATTTATCATGTCATGTGAAATTTGGATGATCCTAATCTTAACCAATCAGGTTCATTAATTTTAGCACATCCAAATATATGTCAGATTTATTAGCATAGCAAAAAGCCAGTGAGTTTCTTATTTACCGGCTAACAAGAAAATTAATACACTTCCGGGGTATATAGTAAAGTGGGTTACGGCACGATTTCCCAAAAATTATTTTCCAACTCGACATCACACAGGGTGACAACTTGCTAAAAATAAATACCTGCAACTAATAGAATGCTAATCTTAACCTTATATGATGTCGGGTAAGTGACCTGTCTTTCGGGAAATTGAGCGACAACCGTAAAGTGGCATGCGGATTAAGACTAGCAGAAAAATTATGCTAATTTTTCCTGTAATCTGTCCTTATCAAAGAACTAACTTTAACAGTGCATAGTCAAGTTGTGCAGTATGGTAGTGAGATTAGGTCAGATTTATGAAAATATACTAACTTCTGACATATATACAATTTATAAAAAAATTCTTAATTAATTATCCACTTCTAATAAGCTTTATATAATGGTTACGGATCAAGAATTAATAACTAAGTATTATCTTTATAATCATTTGGGCACTTTATATACAATCCTTACTAACTCTATTCTCTAACCTTATAGCTGGGTTTTAGAATTCTAATTTAAGTGTAAAACTTTCCTTGATATTACGTATTTACTAGTAATTTAATTATCGATCAAAATTTATATCAGTTTATTTAATCACAATTTTATCAGTAATAGATTTATATATAAGAGATCAAGTTAAAGCTAAACAGCTTTTACTCTCTCTCTCTTTGATCAGATTAGATACTAAAAAATCACATCAATTTTTATGAATTTGAGAACACACCTATTCGGTTTTGCTATAACTTGTAATAAAACTTGTAATTTCTTGAATAAAATTAATCTGCACTATCGTATAAAGAAATAGTATGTATTGATAAATTAGTTTTTATTGTCTATAATTGTAAATATCTAAATTCCCACATATTTGAATTAGGTTCTGAAGTACTTTGGTATGGTGCTATTAAATCATAGTGCCTATTGTCTTAATCTAGAAAGTTATCAACAATCTGGCACCAAGTTAGTTCAAGGCCATAAGCATATACTTGGTTAGTATATTAAAAGAAAGTTTTACTGAATTGTACAATTTAGCATTTATTTTCTGAATTGCATAATTTTGTTTTTATAATATAGCGATAGTAGAAATTATACACTAGATTGTAGATCTGTCAATAATTGGAATACTGTATGCGGTCAATGTGGAAATTCAGTCTGCAACAAAATTGGACAATTCAAGTATCCAAATTGTTGGCATTAGGTTTTAAGTAGTTAAGGTTATACCTGTACCATGTTATATGATTTATTTTTTGAACCAATACCAATAATAAAAAAATTTTCATAACGCCATATCCATATCCAGCTAATAATAACTGCGAGCACATACAGAACCCCAATGCAGCTGTTTATAGAATCTTGTGTATCTTAAATTAAGAAGAATAGTTCTTGGTTTGTTTGCATATGTAGAACGTAATGATAAGTATAAAAACAGCGCTTAAAGCTTTGTAAAAAAAAAAAAAAAAAAAATTGAATTTAACACATACATTAGTTTCGCCAATTTTTTTAGAAACACATTCTGAAATTTGTTCATTAACGGAAGATTTTAGCCAACTTAAAATCTTTTACCAACCCGAGAATGATTATGAAATCGAAATGAAAGAAGTACTTGAAACAAATGATCTTTATTCTGAAAATATATACGATCTAGAAAATAAAGAAATATCATATTTTGATAGTCCAGTTCTTACACCTTCACAAATTAAAAAATTTCAAAAAATATTTTCTCAAAATACTATTGAAGAAAATAACGAAGATCAAGAAGTTAATGAAAAGTTAACTATTATCCTAGATCAGCAAGAAAAAGAAGCATTTATTTATAACCTTCGTACAACAGTTTGTTGTAAAGCTAAAACATGTTTAGCCAAAATTGATCATGAATCCGCATTTAATATTTTTGATAATGTTCGAAAATTATCAAAAGCTGAATACAATATGCTTTTATTAGGAATGCTTCATGCAATGACTCGTTCTAAAGAAACTTTACGGGGTAAAGAAAAACAATACCTAACTGTTAAATATACTTTTGACGGAAAAGAAATTTGTGAAAAAGGATTTCAAATTATATATTCATTATCAAATAAAAAATGGAAAAATATTCGTCAACATTATCATATAAGTAGTATTAAACCTATTAAAAATGCCCTTTCAGGAAGAAAATCTCATAATGCTTTGTCATTTGTGACTATTTTAAATGTTCTTACATTTATCGTTAACTTTGCAAACTGTAATGGATTGCCGTCACCAGGTAAAATTATTATTTTAAAATATTATTTTACTAATGATTGATTATGGGTTTCCGCTATTATTTTTTGAGTACAACGTAATTCAAAGACAATAGAGAAATAGTTTCTAGCTTCGATTAATAAGATGGAAGAATAACACATTTATTTCCCAATAAGGGTGCTCTCAAGCACATAAATTATAGATCAGATCTCAATTTTTAATTAGTAAAAAAATAGTTCAGCCAGTCAAGTAAGTCTATCATCGCAATGAAAAAAGATGGTCAAGACCATCTTTTTTATCGCAGAGTTGTACTGGTTGACTAAAATTTAATATCTGCATTTCGCACCATAAATCTTTAGCAAAATTGCTATAAAGATTACGTATGTTGCTTTTACGATCTCGATCATTAGCAAGTTTCATTGAGAAATATGCTTGAGGCACCCTAATAGCTATATATTTTCCTGGATTTTTTTGGCACTGATAAGAGCAGGAAAAATCTTCTATAAAGTTAGAATAAATAATATATATTAATAAAATTACTTTGATTAGGCCGGCATTTTCGAGAAGACACTATGGCCATTACATTTCTTCCTGCTAATGAAAGTTATTCTGGACTATGCCATACTTATCAATCAAATTTAGAGGAAGATTCTGATCACCATATTAGTCAATCATCTTTTATGCGAATTTGGAAAAAATATGTACCAGAAATTCGCTTTTTATCTTCTAGAAGTGATCTCTGCATGCTTTGTAAAAATATGCAGTTTAATACTCAATATTGGACAGAAAATAAACGAGATTATAATATTCAAGAATGGAATAATCATATTAAATGGGCGAATCAAGAAAGAGAATTTTATAAGTATGATTGGCTTTTTTTTTTTTTTTTTTTTTTTTTATATCAATATAGCTGTTTTATGGAAATTAAATTTTCTAGACAATGCATATTAAATACCAAACAGCAAGTAAAAAATATTATCAATTTATCGAAGCTTTTACGTCTGGTGAAACCGAATTCTTTGGAATTAGAGAACCATATCTTGTGGGACTTCACTGAAGCTGTACATCTTCCATTTTCTTCACAACAAGAAGTATAGTTATATCTTATTTTCTAATAGATTTTTTTTCAATTAAATAATAATGGTTTTTTAGAATTAATTATTTCAGAAATAAGTAAGAATTAGAGATGGGAAAAATGCATATTTTATAATAACATACGCATGATGCGTATTAAAATGTGCATGATATCACATGATATAATTTTTGATTTTTTATTTTCCCTTCGAAAAATATTAAATATTTGCTTAAATTTTTGCTTCAACTCTTCTCTTTTTTATTCTTTATTCTATTCAGCATCATACTCTTTAGTCTAAATTTTATATACTGTATTTAATTTTCCTATATAAAATTTAGATAAGATAAAGTATACATGTTTCTGAATCATGCGCATGAATGCGCATGACTAAGGAATCATGCACATATGTGAAACCCATCTCTAAAGGCAAATCAAAAAATTAAAGAGGTATGACCAGTAATAAAATTGCTTCATTGATAAACTTTTACGTTCTAAATAAGTATATACTTTAAAAATTAGGGTTTATATTCTAGAATTAAACATATTACTTATTTTATCTGAAATCAGATGCCGAATATTAATTCTAAAACCCTCCAATATATATCTGCAACTATTGTATTAAGTAAATGACTAGAAAATGATTGTTAAAAAATGCGCAGCTACCTTTATTAATAAATATTACACTATTATTATTAAAATATTTAGAGATCTATTTACTTTAAGTCTTTGTATAAAGTCTCGATTTTTGGAATATGTAAAGATGCTTTTCCTCAACTGGTTTAAATTTTAATTATTAAAAATTTAATACAGTCGATCCTGATCCTGTCAAAACTGATAACCTGTCAAATCTGATAAAAAATTATTCTACCAAGTCCGTTCTCGTTATATAAATCTAATAGTTTGCTAGGTTTTTAAATCTGATAACCTCTCAAAACTGATACAAAACCTGTCCATCATGCACACCAATTTTGAGAGGGTCGACTGTACATGTAAATTCTAAAAATAATTTACTATTATGTTTTGTTTAGAAAAATTATTTAATTAAAGAAAATGAAGATGTTAGAAAAGGGGCAAATGCGGTTATTTCAATGGTTCACCATTATTTTGAAAATCATGGGCTTGAAGAAAAATATGTTACGATCCATGCAGACAATTGCCCGGGTCAAAATAAAAATAATGCCATAATAAAATATTTAATATAGCGCATTTTAAATAATTTGCATAAAAGAATTGTATATTTTTTTATGGTAGTAGGACATACTAAATTTTCACCCAATGGTTTTTTTGGGTTACTGAAACTGAAACTTCGACATTACTTATTATACTAATAATTTATGTTAAATAAAAAAAAAAGCCTAATCTTTTACAAATAAACTATTTTTATATTTAAAGTTAAGATAAATACAAGCATTGTTTTTTTTTGTATAAGATTATAAAAATATTGGCTTTTTTTAATAAAATTTAAAATTATATGTATTGTTATGATTTTTACATGTCTGTTCTAATTTGCATTTCTGTAGTTTAATTTATTATATACTCTTATTTATATCAGATAATTAATTTACTAAATATGCACTATTAGAACTATATATAAAAAAAATTATTATATGAATGGCATATTACTAAACATGTAATATATATTGGCACTGATTACTAAAAGACAAATAAATTTTAAAATTATATATAATGTAGAAACACTTCACTTATTATAAAACAATACATTCTGTTTTTGATATAAATATAAACAAGATATAACTTGACTTTGTTATATTTTATTAAATTTAATTTAAACAAGTTACCTTTTTTTATAGAAATTATATGATGTATACAAAGTTAATTTCTGTAAGATTAGAAATAAACAATTAGAAAACAAAGTATGACTTTAAACCAAAATGCATGCATATATGCAAATAAGATATCTATATAAGTTTAGATAAGCTATATTAAACTAGTTGCATTCTATTTATTATATATCAAGCAAAATCTTACATCCTTTTTAGCATTGTTCAGAATATTGCACAAAGTTACAAAAATTAATTATTTAATCAAATTTATATCAAAATCTGAATTGCATATAAATTACTAGGATAAAGTAAATTATTATAATAATAAGTACTATTTTGTGCAACTCCAAATTATGCAAAAATTAAATTAAATAAAATAAATTAATAAAAATAAAAGACATAAAATAATAAAAAGGCTGCATAACAAAATTGATAATACAGATGAAATCTTGTATAAAACAAATAATAATCTAACAATCAAAAAGCTATAATAATAAATAGTAAGAGTCTGTGTTCAAATTAATAACTAAATAAAAAAGTCCAAATATTTTAAAATACAAGTATAATATTAATAGAACAAGATAAGTCACAAAGATTAATTATTTAATTATATTCAAAATTTCATACATCTACATCAGAATTATTTATGACCTATACACTATATTGTACATTGTACAAACTTTATTTCTGATATATTTGTTTGATTTATTAGTTTTTTATTCAAATAACAAATATGAATTTATTAAAAAAAACTATAAAAAAAGTAATAAGTTTTTGACAATCTATTAAGATCATTAATAATAAAGAAATAGAGTCCTATAGTCTAACTAAAATAGCCCTAACCTGATATGTTACTACAATAGAAAAATAAATATTATATATATATGCAATACATATTAAAAATTAGAAAGTTTAAATAAAGAACTTAGAGGCAGATCTTAAATATGGCATCTAGTAGATAAACTATGAGCAGAACTCTTAATTAGATAATGACTAAAGTTATATATATAGCTAGTTATATATTTGTTAATAGACTATTGTTTTTTTTTTGTTTTTTTTTTTGGTATTAAGATGAGGTTTTGCCTTTATCTTTATTAATAATTTGTTATAGGCAACTACATGAGTTGACACAGACCAGAGCCAATTTACAAATTTTTTACAAAAATGAAACTCAGACTATAGATGAAATTATTATCTAATTTATCTAATTTATCTGCAACCTAAACCTACTAGAGTGGTTAAAACTCATCTAGATTTGATAATATAGAATATAATTAGTTGGAGTACTGTAATTTATTCGTTCAGATATTCATTTATTTAGTTTTTTATTAGCATTTTCTTATAATAGGCAAGTATAATAATTGTAAAAGTCTCCAGTATATTGTTGGTCAGAAAGACTGCAAGTACAACTGTAAGTATATACTGTTCTGGCTTGTATTAAGGATCTAAATGTGTTTGTATAGTTTGTTTGTTAGTTATATGATAGATGGTTAGAAATATTGTTTTGTTGCTTCTATTCAAAAAGATTGATGCAGTAAGGTTTTTAAATTTGGTTATAGATATTTTGTGATAATTGAATTGGAAATTTTATTGTAATGTCAATTGCTAGCTAATTGCTAATTGTGTATTCTCATATAATATTAATTAGTAAAAATAGAACAAAGCCTTGTATTGTTGTATATATATTTGTATAATTTCTAATAAGATTGTTTGGAGAGAAACATGGATAATTGATAAGTTTATTGTGTAGTTCTTGTAGTTGTGTAGTTGTTGTATCTAGTCATAAATAATTAAAGAATTGTTGTATCATATTGGTAATAGTTAAGTTAAGTGTGAGTAAGTTTGGGTATGTTAGTTAATATAGCTGACTGTTATATGTATTACATAAAATGCAGTCAAGATTAGGATATGTTGTTGGATAAAGAGAATGTAAATAAGATAATGTAGGTAGTATTCCTAGCATTAGCTTGATTTTGAATATTTTTTTTTTTGGCATAAAGTAAAACTGGTATAAGATGTAAATCTTTTGTAATTGTTGTTAAGGAAAAGCCAGGTAACATTCTAGTTGATTTGTAAGAATAGAGGAAGGATGTTTTCTATCTGATGTTAAGAGAACCACATTGCTATATTGTAAGCATTACTAATGTTTTTGATAGTTCTACATGTAGGTTGTTCTATAACATATTTGTTATGATAAAGGTGATATGATGGATTATATATATTAGTATGAAAAAGACTAAGTATGTATGGTTGGTTTTGGTTTTTAGCTAGTTTGTCAACTATGTCATTTAGTGTATTACTACTATATGCAATAACATTTTGGAAATTAATTTGAATTTGGTATGCAGTAATAAAGTTTAGAATTGTATGTCATATTGGCCAGTAGTTAAAGGAGTATATTTTATTAGGTGTAAGTAGTGACTGTATGAGCTTTTTGTATTTGGAAATTATTGATTGTGAATCAGTATAAATAGTAATAGTACGCTGTTTTGGATATATGCTAAAGCAGAAAGGATTACTATAAGTTCTGCTTTGTATAATGAGAGTCAAAGTTTAATTTTTGCTGAATATTGATGCAATATAGTCTTATTTTGAATTTGAATCCAACCAATACCCATTTTGTATCTGTTATTGGTAATATTGCTTAAAGAGCCATTAGTATAAAATATAAACTGTAAGTAGTATAAATTGTTTTGTATGATTTGTTGAAGAATTTCTGTAGCTTGATTTTGTACAAAGATATCAGGTATAGCTTTATTATATATAATGATATTAGGTTGTAAAGGTATTGTAGTAGAGTTTCATAGTGCAATAGAATATAATAAGTCAAGTAAATTTGCATAAAGATTGAGTGTGATAGAGAAATTGAAGTTAACTTTTCTGCCTAGGAATTTGGTTATAAAGTTGGTAGGAATATTAAATATGCATTTGTTTTGTATATGATTAGAATTGAGGTAGCACCCTGTGCATTGTTTATAGATATAGTTAACTGAAGTGTATAGATGAGTATGTAAGGTATCAAAGTTAATTAGCCAATATGTTATAGAAATTGTGTCTTCTGTTTGGTTGTATTTTCTTACTTTGTCTATAGTAATATTGTTATGCTTATAATTATAAACAATTATTCAAAATTTGGATATATTTTTGTAGTATCCAGTAGTGAATAAAATAAAGTTAGTGTGAGATAATTGTAATTGGAAACTAATTAATCTGGATTAATGATTAGTAATAATTGTAT